ATTTTGACTCTTTGACAGGGCAGACAATTTCGTGTCCGCTTCTTAACATCGCTGTTAATGTTCGGCCATATAAATCTTTCTTTTAGTAGTTTGATAGTAGCGCTGACACCGGGATGAGACAAGTTATGTAACTTCTCGAATACTGTATGTCTCATAGCTGCTGGAACGAAAGGTCGATATTTACCTGTAGAGGTGTCGCAGATTATTTTTGTCGCGCCAAAAGGAATTGCGTCTAGTTTTAAAGATGTTGTTTTAGAAGACATGATCTTTTTTAGTTCGGCATCATCTCGTTGTAAGTTTGAGAGACGTTCGTAGTCGATGTCTGGGCATACAATGTTGTCAATGTGCACACGTGATAAAGCGTCTGCCACTTCATTGTTTTTACCCTTCACATGTCGCAGATCGGAGGTGAACTGATATATAAACTCGAGATGTCGTAGTTCACGCGGAGAGTAGTTATCCTGTTTTGCTGATAAGGCTTTCGTTAGAGCTTTATGGTCTGTAAAGACAGTAAAAGCTGTGCCTTCCAGCATATGTCGGAAGTACTCGATTGCTAAATAAACACCCAATAACTCTCTACCAAAAGTGCTATAGCGGCATTGAATAGGATTCAGTCGTTTCGAAAAGAATGCAAGAGGTTGCCATTCGCCGTGTACCTGCTGTTGTAAAACTGCCCCAATGGCAACGTCTGAAGCGTCAGTCATGAGAGACAGGGGGAGTCATTTTGGCGTCTGACTAAGAGTGTCTTGTCATTTAACAATTGTTTAACAGTTTCGAATGCTTTAACAGCTTCTGCGGGCAAATGGAATGAACGACTATGTCCACGTAAGCAATCGGTTAATGGTTGTAAAGCTTTAGCACAGTTCGAGATAAAACGCCGGTAAAAATTAACGAGACCCAAAAATCGTCGTAATTTCTTAAAAGAATCTGGTAACGGATAATCTTTGATAGCTTGTACGTCATCAGGGACTCGCCTGATTCATTGGCTATCGATTAAATGACCGAGGAATTTCAGTGAGGTCTTACCAAATTCGCATTTGTCTAAGTTGATAGTCATGCCGTATTGGTTAAGTCTTTCAAACACTGTCTTAACATGTTTCAAATGCTCGGCTTCGTCTGCACTTGCGATTAGTAAGTCGTCGATGTATGCGTAGACGAAAGGGAGACCACGGAGTACTTGGTCGATTAGGCGCTGAAATGTCTGAGCGGCGTTCATTAGTCCGAAGGGCATGCGTACGAATTCGTATAAGCCAAATGGCGTGGTAATGGCGGTTTTCGGAACGTCATCCGGGTGGATGGGGATATGATGATACGCTCTGACAAGATCGATTTTAGAGAAAATTTTAACATCTGGTAAGTTGCTAGCGAAATCGTGGATATGTCGTATTGGGTATCTATCAGGTACCGTTTGCTTGTTTAAAGCTCGATAATCACCACACGGCCGTATCTCACCAGAAGACTTTTTGGGTACCATGTGAAGCGGTGAAGACCAAGAGCTGTTGGATGGTCGAATAATACCAAGCTCTAGCATTTTATTGAACTCTGTTTTGGGGATTTCAAGTCGATGTGGGTCAAGGCGTCGTGGACGTGCAAAAGCTGGTGGTCCAGTGGTTTTAATATGATGAACCACGTGATGCTTTGGTTCTGTTCCTCGAAAAGAGGGTTGTAAAAGGTCAGGAAACTGATTTACCAAATTGGTATATGGAGATGCTGGTGTGCGTGTGACCATAAAGTTCAACGATGATGCACGGCTAATCGTGCCAGCGATGTACGTTTTATTGAGCGAGTCTATTAACTTAGGACTTGTTGGGTCAACTAACAGTTTGTGTTGCTGTAGAAAATCAATTCCGAGGATTGGAGATGGAACGTCTGCTATGATGAACGACCAAGTGTAGGTATTCTGCAAACCAAAATCTAAAGTCATTCGTTTACTTCCATATGTAACAATACTGGACTGATTAACAGCTTGGAGCGTAACTGCTGGGTCAGGATGTTGACGTTCCTGGGTAGACGGGGGGAGAACACTCACCTCTGCTCCTGTGTCGACTAAGAATGTAGTACCGGTATTTTTATCTGTTACATAAAACAAACGACTGTTAGATCGTAGATTGCCAACAGTATTTTTTACACATGACGATATATCTTTTGGTATAGTCTGAAAGTTGCAAGGTGAACGGCACCGTCGTGCATTGCTTCCATAACTACGGTGATACCAGCAAATATTATCGCGTTGTCGTGACGTGCTAGGGGATCGAGAAAGACGTCGGCGAGACGAGCTTCTAGAACGGCTTGGTTGTGTGCGTGTGGTCAGTTTTGCTAACTGACTCAGTAAGGTGTCGACTTTGTGTTCTAGAGTCTGTATCCTGTCGTGAGTGTCTGGTATTCTGCTAGTGGAAGCGACAGATTGAGGTGTTGACCTCTCGTACATGCGATCCGTGATTTCGGTGAGCCTTTCTATGTCAATGTTGTCGTCTTCGAAAGCAAGAACCTGCTGGATGTTTCCGGGAAGTCGTCGTAGCCATATTTGGTAAAAGAGACGTTTATCGATTTCTCTTCCGGCAACTAGGCTTTGCATATGCCTCATGAGTTGAGATGGGGTTTTATCACCTAACTCAACATTGCTTAACAGGCGATCGAGTGCTTGCCTATCAGAAAGCGAAGTGCATCGGAGTACCTCTTCCTTCAACCTGTCGTAAGGCGCTTCTGTGCTGGGTTGAACGATGTATCGCCGTACCTGCTCGGCGACTTCGTCTGGTAGTACTGTACTCAAAATGCCAAATTTAGCTGTCTGTGACGTGAGCTTATTGCTAGCCAAATAATGTTCCAGTCGAGCAAACCAAAGATGAGGGTCTCTGGGCTTAAAAACTGGTACTGTAAGAGAAATAATACCAACAGATCCCAGCTCTAAGTTATCAGAGATATTGGAAGACATGTTACAATCCGTAAAAAAATGGTTTAAGAGTAGCAAAATAGCAAAATTTGTGCACAATAAGAATATGGCAAAATAAAAAAGCATACAATGCAGGTGCTTACCACAAATTACTGCAGGTTGTGCTATGAGCAAACACAATAATGAGTTCGAGATGCTTAATGAATATATTGGTCCGCGAAAGTTAGAGTTTTAATAATCCAGCTAGTGTAACGACGGGTCGAGGTCAAAAAGTTGTCATCGTCGGAGTCAGCAGTTTGTCGTCGGGCTCACCAATTTATTGCGTGTTCTATTTGACTAAATTAGCGTACACGTATTTCCTAGTACTTCTTCACGTTTATCAATGTGCGCAGACGTTGTGGCTACTCGACGCCCACAACGTAAAATCAGAAGGCACTTGTGAAGAGTGTAATCGTGTATTCTAGCAGTAGTCAAATTTCAAAATTGTATCAAGGTAACGTTCAACAGTAAATTGACAAATGTTTACGAAGTACGTATAAAATCGGTCTGTGTAAACATATAATATAAGTATGCAACCTAGATTAAAAGCGTATGTTCATAGTTGGTATAGGGGTACTACAAGCCTACCGGATGGCGAAAACTCGAGTGTGCCCCCACTTCTTTCCACGCCGACTTTGCGGTGCCTGGAATTCCTTACCGACAGACATAGCTGCTGCACCAACGGTAGACAGCTTTAAGCGTAGGCTGGAAAATCATGCAGCTACACAAGGATTGCGTCTAAACGGTCCATCCAATTAAAATCTCACACACTATTAATGGGTGGACAGCTAAACTCATCGTTTTACTTCTTCACATTTTCTCTTATCTTATTGACCCTACCACACCAAATATTTCGTCCCTTACGCTATTATTATTGATATTGTATACATATATGTGTATCAACTTCAATTTTCATTAGCTGTCTGTTTTTACTCTTTATTTCCTTTTCTGTCTTTTAGTCTGAATAATCTACAATAATTATATCTGTTATTATTATATCTTTTCTTTTGTCGACGACACCAGGGGACTAACTGATGAAAGGATCAACTCCATTCACGGTAGAAACACAGTCTTAGGACACCAAATACTACAAACAACATGTAATTAATCTTAACACCACTCCTTTTGGAGTCAACCAAAGCTATGGCAGTTCACCGGCGGTATGAACTAGGCAGAAACTAACCAAAGACCAGGGGAGTTAAATTTACAGTCAAGAAGCGAGCAAAAAGAAATGAAATTGGTTTACACTAGCTCGTAAAAACGATAGTAGATTTCGGTTAACAATGGCTCGTTAAAATCGATATTGGAAGTTCACTTTCAGGAAGGTAGAACTAAGAAATCTACCTAATTTCTATCAGACAATAAATAAAATGTTTCTGTGACTCTATAGAGGGAATATATTATGAATCAGAATGCCTTAGGGAAATATATGTTATGTGAGCCGACCTTGAAGTGGTCTCACTACACCGGGTGGGTTGATCTTCAAGGTCAGGGTTGCAATTTTTTGTTTCTGCTGTTGTTGGCTCCCAAAATGTTGTTTTGTCTCAATTTAATAAGAAAGAAGACAAAGCATTTCAACATCCAGACGGCTTTGGACAAAAAGGATTGTTAAGACCCTTGAATTTATTGGATGGTTAGATAATTCGTTGGGATGAGACTTAACCACAAACTTGACGTCATTGATAAAGTCAGGTTTCCCTGACTCCTAATACTAATTAGGATCATATATCTTATAACTTCTAACCGTCGCTCTAGACGTTAGAAGTAAGTAAATCAGATCGCAGAAAGTTCTTGAATCAAGACTTATACTGCATTCTTGACCATTGACGTGATTGTATGCACAAGGCTACTTTCATGGCTTCTATAATTTATCTTCACTTTACTAGTTTTCGTGGTTTCCTAACGCCTTGAAAGCACTTTGTATAGAAGTGCCCTTTGGGTCCTTTTTGAGGTAAAATGCAAACGTAAATCTGTAGTGAAGGCATTCGTCAGTTTTATCTTTATGTGTAACTAATTGCCGGTTATTTACATCATTGTATTATTTGGATAAATTTAAATATCTGCGAGCCTAATGTGTATATTAGGTAGATTATTAATGTTTGAATTTCATTTGAAATGTATGGCTATTTTGACGTAAATCACATGAATTGTGTGCTCTTTTTTACATGATTGGTTCTAATTTATTCTCCTTATAGTCAGGTAACCAATATTGTTTTCACGAGCTAGTGTGAACTGAATTGATTTCTTCGTGCTCGCTTCTTAGTTGTAAGGTAAAGGTCCTTGGTCTTCGGTGAACTTCTGCGTACTTCATCCCGCCACTCGACTTCAAAAGGATTGCAGCCGAGATTGATTATATGTTGTTTGTAGTATTTAGTTTGTTAAGACTGTGTTGCTACTGTGAGTGGATTTGATCCTTCCGCCCGTTAGTCATCCACTGTGGTCGACAAAAGATAATAATAGTAATAGATACAATAAGTGTAGATTATATAGACAGTAAAAAAGGAAACGTACAGACAGACAGATGACAGAAGACAAAGGAGAATGGGTTTTACTAAGAGGACGCGTTTAGGTGTCTACCCATTAATAGTGTATGAGTTTTGTGGGGATAGGCTGTGTCACTGCATGATTGTCCACCCCCCACCGAAAGCTATCCACGGACAGTGCAGTAGCCACATCTACTGTTAAAGAGTTGGAGGGGCGGCAAACGTGACATGAAAAGAAATGGGAGCGTACTTGAGTCTTTGCTTGATTGCACTATCGCACCAACTTCAAATTGATATACATGTATATATATATATATATATATATATATATATATATATATATAAACTAAAGCCAATTACCGTAACACTGTTTCTACATACTGGGTTCTGCTTGTTATTATATTGTTTCAAAGTTGCTCTGGTACCCTTAAGTATAGATCAGTCAATCGATGTGCTGATTTTTAAACATCTCTTCGTTCTCCTCAATAACTGGAAAGCTACTGAAAGAGGTTGTCGACATAATATTAAAGTTAAGCACTCCATACAGAGTCTTAAGGGGTTTTAAAAGCTTAGTAATCTTTAGATTTTCTATTATTCGCTTTATGTTCAAGCAAACCGATTCGAACTAAAATTGTGTCAGTGTTGCCTTGTGATAATTTGGGGGGGGGGGGAGTAGTTTCTCATCCTCTAACTTATACCGTGAGGAAAAGTAGTAATATATATCTGAATTACGTTGATCCCTATAGACTATCTCATAGCCAGAAAGAAGGTTAGAGCAGACTGATGCTTAGTACACACGTTCTTTAATCGATAACCAGCCGATTACTATGTAAGTTGACAAACGCTACATGTACGTTTTGTCTTCGTACTCAGATTTCGTTAGCAGCCAGTCCATTGAGGGCTGATTCTACTCCTCAAATTAGTGAATTGATCGGCGCGCTCAGCTGCTTCAATGCGTCACTTTAAGTTAGGGATTGGTTCAATCCAGTCATACAGCATTATCTTACCTTTGACAGGAGCCAATCGTATACCAAACTATTTGAAAATAACTGTTCAAGGTGTTCAAAAGACTCTGCATTTTATTAGCGTCTTCTGAAAACACACGCACGCACACAAATGGAGAGTAGAACTAGAGTTTGCAAAGCATATGACTGACTCAATAATATTGCAGAAATCGATAGGTTATTTATCCGTGGTCATACACCTTCCTGTAAACTCATATATTATCACTTAGTAACGCATTACAGCCTAAATAATGTTTATTTTTAATTACTCGACTTTATTTAGAGTGAATATTTTCAATAAAGGTATAAACAACACTCAAAAATCTACCTGACAGTATATGAGGATAGTTTTCCCCAATTTAATGTTCGTTAATTCAACTTAAACATTTGAATATTTGGAATCAGATCGTTACAGTCACAAGGTGAGTTTACACATAGTTCGTGTCAATGCCTTGAATCGTATTGGTAGTGGACTTGTGTACTCTCTTCCATTATGGGTAAAATTTATTTTGATAAAGTCTCACAGTGTATTATACAGTAATATTTACTGATGACCATGTTTCAAGAACAACTTATCGCTGATCATAATCATACCAAGGCATTACGCATACAACTTTCTAGCTTCGTTTATGTAATTCCATAATTTTCCATCGCTTGATTTGATTGGTAATAGCTTTTCCATATTTACTATTGCACATGTTGGGAGTAGACTCGATGCACAAGGATTTAGTAATCAAACTCTCTCTCCACCTACCTAGATTACTTTTTAGAATTTTAACCCTCCCCCACCCTATTGTGTGGTTGTGTGTTAATGCGTGCAGTACAATTGCTGAGCTTTTTTCTAAATTACGTATCTTTTCGGGGTCAACCATTCTTACCTTAGCCAAAAAACCAATGCATTCTGCTAATAGACATTTAGACTTTAATTCATCTCATCCGTTAACTGTCTGTTAAGGCAGGCTTAGTTAAGTGTCTAACAAACCGAGCAGTAGCACTAAGTAGCACAAGGAAAGACCTAAATGATTTTATTTTATTTTGATTTACAGCTTGATTCCACACCGTATTTTCAGTACAAGTATGGAATTTTCAGCATGTGATACCGGTAGCCCAATTTTGCAGGCCGACCATAGATATCAGGTGTACGCTGGGAGGGGATCGAACCCCGGACCATGTGCATGGTCGGCGAGAGTCCTAACCACTGTGCCACCGACGCACAAATATCCTTTAAAAAGTCATTAGGAAGATCAGAATCGGCCAAAAGCAAAATAAAAAATAATGAGGAAACTAGTAATGAAAACTTAAATGAGAGAGAATATAAGGCATCTACAGTTTTACAATATAAGGAAGGGATATCTGAAACCCTAGGTAGTATTCTCAATAAAGCAGAAATTCCAATGGCATTTGAACCTACAAACTCACTCCGAGACAAGCTCTGTAGGCTGAAAGACCCGGTGGATCCAATTAGACAAAATAATATAATTTACAAAATACCTTGCAATCACTGTGACCCAGGTCAACTACATAGGTTAAACTAGTAGATCAGGTGGGGTTAGTCAGATAAGAATTTAACTTAGGTAAGAATGGTTGACCCCGAAAAGATGAGTAATTTAGAAACAAGCTCAGCAATTGCAATGCATGCATTAACACACAACTACACAATAGGGTGGTGGGCGAGGATTAAAATTCTAAGCAGTAATGTAGGTAGGTAGAGAGTAAATCTACACCCAAAACGTGCAATAGGATTGACTCATCACTCATACCGGAAATATGAAAATACTACTACCAATCAAATCAAGCGATGGAAAATTATGGAATTATATAAACGAAGTTAGAAAGTTATATGAGTAATGCCTTGATATGATTATGATCAGCGATAAGTTGTTCTCGAAACATGGTCATCAGTAAATATTACTGTATAGTACATTGTGAGACTTTATCAAAAATTTTTTACCAATAATAGAATTATACTCTACCACAGTGCACAAGTTTTATTCCTATATCATTATGTACTCTGTAGCTGTACACTCTGTCCTTCTTTATGGCTGTGAGGTACGGATGCTGAAAGTGGAAAATATGAAGAGGCTAGCTATGTTTGACTGCAGGCCTCCAAAGCCTCAGGATGGTCGGGGGTGGGTGCCTTGCGCTGCGGGTTGGCCACCCCTCCGCACACCTCTTGAAATGCTCCCATATGACCGGGCGTCTTACATAGCCTCTCCTGAGGAAGTCCTACTCACTGCCTTCACGTGGCGGAGGTGTTTTTCACCAAAGTGAGAGGGCGAAAGCGGATGCCCGGCGCTCTTCACCGGGTTGACTGTCCATTGGATGACAGTCTAGGGGAGATGGCTAAACCCTGATTCCAAACCTCCAACGACTGGCGTATGAAGCTCACTGGAGCTCACCGGCAGACGTATGGACAAAGGGCTTGTTGGATGTCCTGGATGTCTGGCCCCATTCAAAAAGGCGTATGAACCGAACTCCGGTCACCGGCTGCCAATGGATAGTGGACTCCCTACTCCACTCCTACTGCCTTGTAGGTCACACTTGGTTGTGTAAAGGCTAGAGCTGCACTCTCAAACAAAAGGCCGAGCGATTCTGGGGACATCACTCGTACCAAATTCCCATGAAACTTCATGAACTCTCTTACAAACGACTCTCACCATGCTACGGCGTTCCCGGTAAGCGACGCGCCCTGTGCTCACCCGGTGGCCAGTGTGAACCCTGTCGCAAAACCTTGCATCAGATCGCCGCGCCTGGGCAGCGATGATTCGAGATGTTCATGAAGCCGGCTCATCCTCCCGTAGGAGATAGCCGAAGTAAAGTAAAGTCTGCGGTATAATAGGGTGAGCAATATTGAGGTTAGCCATCTGTCGGGTGCTAAGTAAGGAGGGGAAATCAATCGACGAGCCTGTGAAGTTACATTGATTGAGATAGTTAGGACATGTGTTACGCATGCATGCCTAGACATCTATTTCCTCAATAATGGGTAATGTCAGCTGATTGACATAGGATCAAGTTGGAAAAGAGTTAGCCAGTGGTGGTCAAACGAAAACATGGCTTCATCAGTCAATGAAATCTACGATAGTTAGTTTAAGCCAAGTAGGAAGGTATAGACTTCTTGCCTGGCTGGTTGGGGTCCTCGGAATGTTAAATCCAATGAAAGCTGGAGACAATTAGTGATATGGCTGGCTCAAAAGCGTTCTCAATGGCTGGCGTAGATGCACTCACTCTTCGTGATTTATAATATTCAATAAAACTATATTGCTCTTCCATATTACTGTTTTCTTTTTTGCCTCATATCTCGGTTTATTATCTCTGTTTTGAATCTCTTTTTACTTTCTTCTCTTGCTTTGTTTGCTACAAGGTGAGAGTGTGGCGACTCGAACTGGTGCACATCTGTGCAAAGTCGTACGTTGAAAACAGTCAGTCAGTCAGGGGATAGACTCTTCAAAATCTGGCATCAATTCAAGAAGACTTTGACAGTTAGTTGGAGCCATGTATCTAGGCATAGACATCCACATTGGGATCCAATGGATGCTAAGAACCAATGGCTTAATACATGGTTGAAAATCGTCCTCAACAGCTAAGATTCATGCACTCTAGACTTATAAAATTCATGTTTCTCCGTGTTACTATTCTTTCTCTCTCTCATATTTCACTATTGTTCTTTCGAATCTCTTTGTTTTCTCTCTCTCTCTCTCTCTCTCTCTCTCCTTTATCTGCCTCTGTGGGATAAATGGAGCGTTGCAACTTGAAGTCCTACACTTCTGTTTTTTTCCCTTCACGTTCCCCAGTGGAACATAGGGTTTCAAGCTAGTGGTTTGGAGTTTCTGTAGCAGTGTTTCTTTTACAGGATGGGGTTGCTAGCCTCATGCCCAACCTTTCCTCTTCACCAGCATTATTTCTGGCTTAGCGAGGTAAAGGAGTGCGTCGGTGGCTGGGGATCGAACCTCGGACCATGTGCATGGTCAGCGAGCGTCCTAACCGCTATGCCACCGACGCACACTACACTTCTGTGCAAGGTTTTATGTTAAATCTCAGTCAGTTAGTCAGTCAATCAGTCATTAATACACCTTTAACCTGTTTGTTTGGTTTAAGTTGGCGGGAATAAGTCTTTCTTTTTACGAGTTGATCACGGATTGATATCAGTTAGAGAACCATTGAAAACCAACCAGGGTGGCATACATAAACTTGTGCCACCTCTGGCGCCGTCGTGACGTTAGCCTGGCTGTCAAAGGTGGTTGCGTATACAATGCTTCGGTGCGGGCTGTCTTGCTCTACGCCTGTGAAACCTGGCCTCTCCGAGTAGGCTGAGGATGTGCGGTGACTCTGCGTGTTCGATCATCGCTGTCTCCGGAGGATTGCTTGCGTTCGATGGCATCATCGCGTGAGTAATTCTGAGGTTTGGTGGCGTGTGTTTCAACCCAGTGGAGATCACCATTCATTGAGTGTCGTCATATGGAAACACCAGCTCCGGTGGCTTGGACATGTGCTGCGATTGTCATCCCAGAGGCTTCCGTACAGGTCTCTGTTCGCTAGCCAGCCCTGGGACGGGATGGAAAAGGCGGAGGGGTGGTCAGTCCATGACGTGGTTTCGTGGGATGAAGGATATTTGTGCTAGATTAGCATCGGTTGGTGTGTCACGACTCCCTGGTTGGGGTCCGCGAGATAGCTCGAATCGATGGCTCGAAACGTTATCGGATATGGCGAAGAATCGTAATCAATGGCGAACGTGCTGCAATCTCCTTCTTTCTTCCCTTCCTGATGATAGTTAACCAATACTGTTTGAAGTTGTTAAACATGACTGTTTTCCTTCCAGATGAAGTTCTTTGTCCGTTTTCTACTTATATTTTTACTTTTAGTCTATGTTGTTTTATTATTATTGTTTGGCGCATCTTTCTTGCTGCCATACTGTACCAAGTTTTTCTGCGTTTAAATAAAATAAAATAAATAACCAGGGAGTACTAAACATCTGTTTCATCCTAGTTTGGGAATCATCATCAGTATTCACCCACTGGTTCTCTAACTGATATCAATCCGTGATCAACTCGTCAAGACAAATCTAACCCTTAAAGCCCACTATTGAGAATTAGTCGGATGCTCACCAGTGACGTGCTACTGGACGGAATTTCTTGGAGTTCTAGTGAGCAGCCGTAACCAGTGAGGTCGAACCAGTCAAGTGTGAGAATGGATGTCCCACAGATGACACTGGTTGATGGTCACGCTAAACCACAAATTGGTAGGTTAGAATTTACGGACTGGACGATTGAATCGGGTCTCAGTGACTGAGCTTGCCTTGTAATTGGAAGATCCTGGATTCGAAACCCAGTGATAGGTGCGTAGTGTCGATGATTCCCAAACTAGGCTAACGAAACAGCTGTCCAGTACTCCATGTGGCTGGTTTTCAATGGTTCTCTAAGTGATATCAATCCGTGGTCAAACTGGAAGAAACAAATCTAATGCTTCCAAACCAACTATTGAAAATAGGTGGTTAAATGCCATACGTACTATCATTTGAAGAATACTGATAATACTACTCAGTTGCCCAGACTGAAGTAGGTGGGCCGGGACTCGAGCCCATGACCCATTGACTGATTATTGACTGTGTCAGTCTATAGGTCACTCATACACACACACACAATCTTACACGTGGTAGTAGGGGTGGGGTAATAATCTTAGGCAAGATATGATTATGATTTTTGTTTCTAAGTTAGGCTGCATTTCTCGTTTACTTTACTTTACTTCGGCTATCTCCTACGGGAGGATGAGCCGGCTTCATGAACATCTCGAATAAGAGAGTTTCGTTGACCAGTTATGTTGAACCGAATTGCTCGGTCTCCGTTGATAAGTTACGACTCCTAGTGGAGATGCCTCGATGATATCTGAGGAACAGCATGGTGTTTATGTGGTTGATGGTGACCAGTAGAAGAAAGCATACACATCCTGGATTCAGGCTTGATTACAAGCTAAAATCAGTTCAAGGATCATTAGAAAATTAGGGAGTACTGGACAGCTGCTGTTTCACTGTAGTTTGAAAACCAGGACGTCCCAATGATAAAGTGAGCTCGTAGACCTATTCAGCTACTACTGGAACCTGATCCAATGGTCTATGAATTCCAACTTCTGCTAATTCGCGATATATGTATAACGCAACCAACCAACTAGCCAATGTTATCAGCAGGTTACTGTCATCTTACCTGACTTGCTGGATCCCACCAGCTCTGTTACTTCTCATTGGAACTCGCCAGTGGGCATCAGACCACTTTTCAAATGTTCGTCTGCAGGGATTTGAATGGTTACAGGTTTTGATGACAAGCTGATATCACATCAGTCAGTCAGGAAAGCAGTGAAAAACCAGGGAGTACTGGATAGTTTGGAATTCTTCATCAGTACGTACCCACCTGTGCTCGAATCCACAGCCTGCCATTTACAAGGCAACCTTGTAGACTGTTCAGCGACCAATGCATGAAAGCATCCTGAATCTCACTGTTAGTCACCAGTTATGAATGGTGAATAATTTTTTACCTTTACAAAAGGGTTATATTAATATATGTGTAAAACTTGGGCACTGTGGTAGTAAGTAATTCCATATTAGTTTGTTTATTAGATGTATCACACAGTGAGTGAAACAGTATTATTATTTACTGCATGACACAGTTTCGAACAAAATTTATTGTTCATAATCATGCCATCAATTATAATCACACGACTTCGAAACTTGAGTTTTATAGTTTCCCTTGTCTTCTCCTATTTGTCGTCGTTGGGGTAGTAGAATTTTCCAGATATCCCTCTGGACAGGTGTTGAATCATTCCTATTACATGTATTTGCAGTTGATTCGATAAACAAAGCTTGTGTTATCAATCAATCTCTCCCTCCACCCTCCACAAAACAATTTAATTTATCTAATACCCAGCAATGATTGTCAGGTCAAATACATAGGTCAAACTAGTAGAACAGGAGCAGTCAGACTAGCCGAACATAAAAACCTAGCAGCAAAATCTAGGTTGGTTGACCCGAATAAGATAAGAAATCTAGAGAATAGTTCAGCTATAGCACTACACTACATGCAGTTACACACAACCATACAGCATAAGATGGGATGGGATAAGATGACAGTTTTGAAATCTAATGTCACAGGCTGGGTGGAGGGAGAGATTGATTGATAACACAAGCTTTGTTTATCGAATCAACTGCAAATACATGTAATAGGAATGATTCAACACCTTTCCAGAGGGATATCTGGAAAATTCTATTACCCCAACGACGACAAATAGGAGAAGACAAAGAAAACCATAAAATTCAAGTTTCGAAGTCGTGTGATTACAATTGATTGCATGATTATAAAGAATAAATTTTGTTCGAAACTGTGTCATCCAGTAAATAATAATACTGTTTCACTCACTGTGTGATACATCTAATAAACAAGCTTACTAATATGGAATTTACAAAAGAGTGTTTTTTAAAAAAATAGTATTTCTTTTTACTAGTTTATATACTCCTTGATTATTTTGTCTTCCCCACCACCCCTCTGCATCTAAAGATGACTTCATTATATGCTAAAAGAATGACACTACTCGCTGGACGTATATTCAAAGATGTCGGTAAACCAATTGACAATAAATCAATGAAAGTTGTCAAGATAATGAGTGAACTGCCACGTCCAATGATGCTCAAAGATTATTATCCAAATTTAGAAGAGTATAGCAGTATCCTATGGAAATTACGTCATGTCGGTTTGTATAGAGATGAACATGCTGATTTTCGTGAAGAGATGGCACGTTTGCGTGAATTACGTGGTAAAGGCAAGAAAAAGAAAGGTGAAGCGGAGAAGCAAACGAGCAAGTGAGGTGAAGCGAAGTATTTCAATCGTGTGTATGTGTATGTGTGTATGTATGTGCGTGTATAATATTGACTTATTAGTAGTTTTGTACATAGTTATATTTCGCCTATAAAATTGTGTATTATTCGAGGATTGTGTCGTGTTGTTTTATTCTATGAAAAAACCTACATCTGTAGGACAGAGTACACATTTCTTCAATTTTGTACCAATCCGATACAAAATCAATTTGGTCAGATAGATGCCTCACGAATAGAGCAATACTTACTTTTGCTTTACTTCGGCTATCTCCTACGGGAGGATGAGCCGGCTTCATGAACATCTCGAATCATCGCTGCCCAGGCGCGGCGATCTGATGAAGAGAGTTCATGAAGTTTCATGAGAATTTGGTTCGAGTGATGTCCCCAGAATCGCTCGGCCTTTTGTTTGAGAGTGCAGCTCTAGCCTTTACACAACCAAGTGTGACCTACAAGGCAGTAGGAGTGGAGTAGGGAGTCCACTATCCATTGGCAGCCGGTGACCGGAGTTCGGTTCATACACCTTTTTGAATGGGGCCAGACATCCAGGACATGCAAAAAGCCCTTTGTCCATACGTCTGCCGGTGAGCTCCAGTGAGCTTCATACGCCAGTCGTTGGAGGTTTGGAATCAGGGTTTAGTCATCTCCCCTAGACTGTCATCCAATGGACAGTCAACCCGGTGAAGAGCGCCGGGCATCCGCTTTCGCCCTCTCACTTTGGTGAAAAACACCTCTGCCACGTGAAGGCAGTGAGTAGGACTTCCTCAGGAGAGGCTATGTAAGACGCCCGGTCATATGGGAGCATTTCAAGAGGTGTGCGGACGGGTGGCCAACCCGCAGCGCAAGGCACCCACCCCCGACCATCCTGAGGCAAGACGTATGTATCTGTACAGATGACTCCCTAGAAAATGAGTTAGGATACATTCAAAATACGCTGGTCCAAATGGGTTATCCTAGTAGATTTGTAAGGAGACAGGCACATGAACACCAAGTATACAATAAAGAGAAACTGGCAACAGTTAAAAAGAAACAACTGTTCATGAAATTTCAATTTAATGGGGATGTGGCTAGCGAAGTCCTACATCTGAGATTATCGAGAGCGATAAAACGGACTTATACTGCTGCCATGTTTTGTTTGTCATTTTCCAGTTGACGACCAATTATGATTGCTCAAGTGAAAGACAAGCTACCTAGCTGTGTCACTTCGATGTGTATCTATAAATTTCGTTGCTCCTGTGGAGAGAGCTATATAGGTCGAACAACTAGACAGCTTAACAAACGCATTAATGAGCATCTTCCTTCCCTCATGGTTTGGAAAAGGTCAAATGAAATCTATAAGAAGTTCTATTTTGGCTCATTTGATTGATGATAGCGGTCACCAAGTGGACAAAAATAGTGCCGCCTTCAAAGTTATCTATCGCATTCCATCGAGTCTTTCGAATGGAATCAAAACCCATCTTTTACACATAGCCGAAGCTATGCGAATTAATTCGAGGAAACAATCCTAGTCTTTGCATACAGCAAAAGAAGTTTGTTTTACCTTTGTCTCTCCCTTGCTTAGCTATCCTAGGTGAATTCTATTCAAAACCCTCCCACTACCCTTTCTTATTTTCCACCTCCTTCGCATTTTTATGATATTTATTTAAAGTCTGATTATCTGTCCACTTCACTATTAGTATTACGTAACTTTTAAGATTTGACCTAATTTATTTATTGAATTGTCTATATATACATATATTACTACCTTCGTTATTCTTATCGCCACCTGCATAAACCTTATTATCATTATTCTTGTTATCATTATAATCACCGTTATTAACTACGTTCAAAACATTTACCACATTATTATTATTTGATCCACAAAATCACCGTCATTGGTTAGATTTAAATCTATGTAAATTAGAGTAAAGCCTGAAGAAGATCCAATTGAAAACAACAATATTGTTCGCCTATTATATGTGTGTCTTGTTCTAATTTTATTCTATGAACATGCTCCCAGTTGGTTTGATTAATTTTGTTTTACTACATTATATTATAAATTATTTAAATTAATCCCAGCGTGTTTAAGAAAATCAAAACAAAATTTTTCTGAACGTTTCGCTGTGTAAGCCACAACTTCTTCAGCGGATTTATTCAGATTTTTATTAATCATCAAATACATAGCAAAAATATTCATTCAGACATCTATAAAACACAAAATAATCGAGCAAAGAATATTCTTTTCGATAAATTCCTGCTCTACAATTATATATATGTTTATATACATAAAATATTTTAAATTAGTAGTTAATAACAATATTAGCGTTTTTTAAATAATATCGATTTGTAAAGTATGATCAGTGCTATTACTATCATTATTATTGATAAGAATATGAATCTAAAACCAAAACAGCCCACGTTACCAACAGTTCCAAAAAAGGCCTTGTTCTTACAGATGCAGTTCCTAGGAGACAACACAAGTGAGATACTAGCACATCGTCTTAGAAATGCGGCAAAAAGAGCATTCCCTGCTGCTCAATTACGCTGTATCTTTAAAACCACTCCTCTTCTGCGTTCGGGAATAAAAGACAAACTGCCTAATTTCGCCTCTTCCATGTGTATCTACCAATTTAACTGCTCCTGTGGAGCCAGTTACATAGGCCGTATAATTAGGCGTGTTTCGCTTCGAATTTCCGAACATCACCCTGCCTGGTTAAGCAAAGGTCAAACAAAATCTATTCGCAGCGCTATTCTGTCTCATCTTGTGGAGACAGAACACAAGATTGATGTTAACCATGCTTTCAGGGTCATTTACCGCATACCTACGAATCTCAATTTCGCTTTAAGAGTTCGACTTCTAAATATTGCTGAGGTTGTGGGGATTCATATTAATAAGCCTAATTTATGCGCCCAAAAGAAGTTAGTTCAGTCATTATCATTACCTTGGCCATCCAGGTTTGAATAATCCAGAATTTTTGTGAAATTTCCCTAATTTTAGTTGATATTCTATTCGCTGTTATATCTTTATTATTATTATAATTTAAGCATCTTTAATGAACTGCAATAGCACTGATCATACTTTACAAATCGATATTATTTAAAAAACGCTAATATTGTTATTAACTACTAATTTAAAATATTTTATGTATATAAACATATATATAATTGTAGAGCAGGAATTTATCGAAAAGAATATTCTTTGCTCGATTATTTTGTGTTTTATAAATGTCTGAATGAATATTTTTGCTATATATTTGATGATTAATAAAAATCTGAATAAATCTGTTGAAGAAGCTGTGGCTTACACAGCGAAACCTTCAGAAAAATCTTGTTTTGATATTCTTAAACATGCTGGGATTAATTTATAATAATAATAATAATTTATAATGAATCAATCTGACTCGACGTTCAAATTATTCCAGGAAGTTCGTAACACCTCTACGGCCTGGAAACCTATAATCTTACTACATTATAGTTTTAAAGGACTAATTCTTAGTGAACACAAAGACTGACTGGCTAACTGGTTTAAACGTAAAACTTTGCACAGATGTGCAGTAGCAGCAGCAGCAGTTCAAGTCCCCCCTCCCTGTCTATGTACTATACAAAACAAGGTAAGAGGAGTAAAAAGAGAGAGATTCAACAAAATAGAGAGTTAGAGAGATAATAAAAAGAAGTGTGAGGGAAAAACAATAGGAGTAATATAGAAGAACAATAGAGTTTTATTAAATATGAACCGCTTGAAGTTGTCGATAAGTTTGTGTATCTGGGTAGTTGTATGTGAGTGTTTGCAGAGGGGTGATGATGGCTAAAATTTCCAACTGTATCATGAAGGCTAGAGTGGCATACATCAACTTGAGACACCTCTGGTGCTGTCGCGAAGTTAGCCTGGCTGTCAAAGGTGGTCGAGTATACAATGCTTCGGTACGGGCTGTCTTGCTCTACGCCTGTGAAAACTGGCCTCTCCGAGTAGGCTGAGGATGTGCGGCGACTCTGCGTGTTCGATCATCGCTGTCTCCGCAGGATTGCTTGCGTTCAATGGCATCGTCGCGTGAGTAATTCTGAGGTTCGGCGGCGTGTGTGTTTGGACACAGTGGAGACCACTATTCGTTCATTGTCGCAATCTGGAAACACCGGCTTCGGGAGCTTGGGCATGTGCTGCGAATGTCATCCCAGAGGCTTCCGTACAGGTCTCTGTTCGCTAGCCAGCCCTGGGACGGGATGGAGAAGGAGCGGAGGTGGTCAGTCCATGACGTGGTTTCGTGGGATGAAGGATATTTGTGGTAGGTTAGCATCGGTTGGTGTGTCACGACTCCCTGGTTGGAGTCTGAGAGATAGTTGGAATCGATGGCTCGAAACGTTATCGGACATGGCGAAGAATCGTAATCAATGGTGAACGTGTTGCAATTTCCTTCTTTCTTCCCTTCTTGATGATAGTTGACGAATACTGTTTGAACTTGTTAAGTATGACTGTTTTCCTTGCAGATTAAGTTCTTTATCCGTTCTCCGCCTATATTTTTGAAGTTTTAATCTATGTTATTTCATTATTATTGTGTGGTGCATCTTTCTTGGCGCCATATTGTACCAAGTTTTTCTGCATTTAATTAAATAAATAAAACTATGACAAATCCTAAAGAGTGAGCGCATCAGCGACATAATTGAGTAGGAGCGTTTTGAGCCACATCACCAATTGTCTCCAGACATTGGTATTGATTCTTACCATCCTGCGAACCCCAACCAGACAGCAGTCTACATTTCCCCCTGCATGGTTGGATTGACTTAGCTGTTATGGATTTTATCGACCGTTGAAGCCATGTTTTGGTTTGACCACCACTAGCTATTTTTTTCTGTGTCGCCTAGCATTGCCTTTCAAGGAAGGCAGTGGCTAGTCATGCCTAACACGCATGTCCTAACCATCTCAGTCGATGTAATTTCACAGTTTCGTCAACTGATTTCCCCTCCTTACCTAGCACCCGACAGATGCCTAACCTCAATATTGCTCACCTTATTATACCA